CTGGAAATTTGGTGGTGGCTGGACTGGATCAACCGTGAAGCAGATTGGAGATTCAATTTGAATTTGTAATTGATCTTAAAAAAAAAAATATAAGTATTAGTGACGGATTTTAGAGACCAATTTTTCATTACTAGTTTGAAAATTTTGTTGCAAATTTGGTCACTAATCCATCACTAATTCTTGGTGGCTGTTTTCCTAATTCTTTAAAGCCACTTGTTCTTTGTTGTTTAGCTTTGTTTAAACCTTGTAATTAGCCATTTAAAGGAGTGTCTTGGGTGTGTCTTTGGTACACAACCATCTCTCCTTAGGATTTCAATTTTCGTTAGTACTTGGTGAGAGTGGTCCTTGATTGATCTTTGGTATCTCTCAAGCTCTCACCCTAGGACACGTTTAGGTAGTTTAAATTTTTGCTTAATACTTGTTTTTAATTGCTTTATACGTCTAGTATATCATAGCTCACAAAACATCAAAAATAATTTTCATTGAAAAGAATTTGGTAGAGATTAACTACAAAGGGGATTAGTAATTTTTACTTGAAGAGGCTTGGTTTTTAAGTGGCTCTTAGTAGCTCACCTCCCTCCAAAGTTCAATTTGTATACATAATCCTCCAAGTACTTAGTCTTAACCTTGCATAAAAATTGCTTTTCAAACTTCTTTCATCAAAAAGAATCTTTCACCTATAATGGAAGAATTTTCTACTCCTCATAGTGATACTAATTCAAGTGACAACAAAGATTTTGCTAAATTGTCACGTGAATTAAGATCACTAAAGCTATGGAAAGATCAAGAATCACAACAAAGAATTAGAGAAAAATTTGAAAGAGAAGCTCAAATTGCTCTTATGGAGGAGGAAATTCGTCTATTAAAGGAAAAAGAAAAAAAGAAACATCATAGTAGACATAGCTCATACGCCAATAGTTCCATCATAGGAGAGTCAATGCATGATGATAGCCTAGCTTTAGGAGATCATTATCAACAACCTCCTAGAAGAGTCCATAGGACCCCCAAGTCAAGGGAACCTAGGGTAGATCTCACTTATTTTCATGGAAAGGATGATGTGGAGGGGTACCTAGATTGGGAGATGAAGGTGGAACAAATCTTCACTTGCCACCAAGTGAGTGAAGAAAGAAAAGTCTCCTTAGCCACTCTAAGCTTCCAAGGTCATGCCATGTATTGGTGGACTTCTCTTGTGAGAGATAGGCGTCTCCATAATGAACCTCCAATTCAATATTGGAATGAATTAAGGAGTGCCTTGAGGAGGAGGCATATTCCCTCTTACTACACTAGGGAGCTTATCAACAAGCTCCAAAGACTCCATCAAAAAAATATGACTGTGGAAGAATATAGACAAACGATGGAGTTATACTTAATGAGGGCTGGTATTAGGGAGGAGGAAAATATTACCATTGCTAGGTTTTTGAGTGGTTTAACTTTTGAGATAAGAGATAAGGTTGAGCTTCTCCCTTATAGGGATTTGGATGATTTGGTTCAACTTTGCATTAAGGTTGAACAACAAAATTTGAGAAAAAGTTTTAAAACAAGCTCATACTCATCTTCTTTCTCTAAGGTTGACTACAAGAGGGAAAGTAAGAAAAATGATTTTGAAAAGAAAAATACTTTTCCCTCCAAAAATTTAGACAAGTGTAAAGGAAAATAAAAAGATAAAAAAACAAACACCTCACACACTAGCACTAAGTCTAGTGATATAAAATGCTTTAAGGTGTCTTGGGAGAGGCCACATTGCTTCTCAATGCCCTAACAAGAAAGTGATGATTTTAAGGGGCCAAGACATTTATAGTAGCCATGATGAAGCTACTACTTCTTCATCTTCAAGTGAGGATGAAAAAGAAGCAAGTGAGGGAGAGTCATGTGAGGTCACTTACCCTTACAATGGGGAACTTCTTATGATGAGAAGGGTCCTCAATAACCAACCTAGTGATACACAATCCCAAAGAGAGAACATCTTTCATACAAGATGTAACATTTCAAACAAGGCTTGTTCTCTCATAGTGGATAGTGGATCTTGGTGCAATTGTTGTAGCACTAGGATGGTTGAAAAGTTGGGCTTGACTACCACACCCCATCCCAAACCTTATCAACTTCATTGGCTTAATGATGATGGGGATATGGTGGTCAACCAACAAGTGGAAGTAGAGTTTTCTATTGGGAACTATCAAGATAAAGTTAAATGTGAGGTAGTTCCTATGGAGGCTTGTCATATTTTATTAGGTAGGCCATGGCAATTTGATAAACAAACTCATCATGATGGCCTAACTAATAAAATAACTTTCACTCATAAGGGTAAAAAGTTTGTGCTTCATCCTCCATCACCTTCACAAGTGATGGAAGATCAAGTACAAATGAAGACCAAATGTGAGCAAGAAAAAGAGAAACAAAAAAAGTTGAAAAAAAAAACCACTAAAAATTAGTGAAAAAGAGGATGCTAGAGATAATAGTGTTCCCTCTCTAGAGATAGTTCAAGAAGAGATTTTTAATTCAAACCTTTTACACAAAACCTCTCTCTTTCTTGAATCATCTTCTCATATCCTCATGTGTA